TCTTTGGGCAGCTCCGGCAGCCGCGCGAGGCGCTCTGCGCCTTCCGCGAGGCGTGCCGCCTCCGCGGCGAGAAGCACGAGCTCTGGAAGAGCTCCGCCGCCCTCGCCGCCGACCTGAGCATGTACTCGGAGGCGATCTTCCGCGGCCGGCGCGCGCTCGAGACGGGCGGCGCGCCCGACCCGGTCCTCGCCGCCGTGCTGGCTGACGCGGTGGTCAAGGACACGCGCGCCGCAGACATGACGGGCGCGCGCCGGCTGCTGCCGCAGCTGCGGACGCTGCTCGGTCTCTACACCGCCGCGCAGCCTGGCGCGGCGCAGCACTGGCAGACGGCGCTCTACGTCGAGCGAAAGTGCGGCGGGCCGGCGGAGGCGGCGCCGCTCCTCCTCGGCCACCTCGCCGCATTGCGCGCCTCGACGCCGCGGGCTCGCTCCGGCCTTGGCAGTCCCCCGCGTGAGCCTTCTCGGAGCCTTCCCGCAGGCGCGCCTCGACCGAGTGGACCAAGGACGCGGCCGCGCTCGACGCGGTCTCCGAGGCGGCGGCGCAGCTGGTGGAGGCGCGGCTCGACTCCGGGTGCGAGCCCGGCGAGCTCAAGAGGCTCGGGGCGACGGTCGACGAGCTGGTGCACGCCGCCGCGGAGCGGCTCGCCGCGACGGCCGGCTCCGAGGGGTTGCGGATGGTGCAGGCGCGCCTGCGCCGCCACCTCGAGGACCTCGACTGACCTGCTCGCACGGTGTAAGCGCGACTGTGCGACAGGAGCGCAGACCCCTCGCGACGTCGAGAGTGGTGTGAGTGAGAGTGCGCTGCGGCGCAGCTGCCCAGCTCGCGTATCTCGCCGCGCGGGCCAAGCAGCGCATGTACGTGCTTAAGACGTCGCAGACCTCGTCCAGACTCGCCCTCTCGAATTTACCCGCCCAGAAAATGGTAAATGCGTGCCACGGTGCTACTACCCACGACACATCGAGCGACACACTTCACACCGCGCGCGACACCACGCAGACCAGCTCCCCCGGCCAGCTCGCTCGCGGCGAAGCGCCAGCGTATTGCCCCATTGCTACTACGGAAGCCGCCCCGGAGAGCATGGCTAAGCGAACCCTCGCGCGCGCCAGTCGAGGGAGCTCAGCCCGCCGTCGTCCTCGTCGTCGTCGTCCTCCTCCTCCTCCTCCTCGCGCGCGGCTGACGGCGCCGCACCCGGATCGCCGTCGTCGGCGGCTGCGGCCGCGCGCTCCGCCTTGGTGGCGGCCACCTCCTGCGCCACGCGCGCGGCGACGACGAGCGCCTTTTGGCGCATGTCGTGCAGCCCGTCCACCCGCTTGCTCAGCTGCACCTGCTCCTGCAGCGCCTGCAGCTGGCTCAGGTCTGCCTCCTCCTCGATCTCCTCGGCGTCGTTGGCCTTCGCCGTCTCGATGTCGGCGCGCACCAGCTTGTTGAACTCGTCCATCTCCTCGCGCAGCTGCTGCTCCTTGTTCGTCGCCGCCACCTCTCTCCCGCGGTTGGACGGGTCCTCCTGCGGATTGTCAAAGAAGCCGCCCGGCAGTGAGGGCGCCGCGCCGCCCGCGCCCGCGCCCGCGTCGTCCGCCTCGGCGGTTGCCGCCACCGCCCCGGCGGACGCTCGGCCGCCCGCGGACGAGCCGCCCGCCGCGCCCTCTGCGTCCTCGAGGTAATAGCCCACGCCCGCCGGACCCGCCTTGAAGGTGTAGCCGGGCCGCGCGCCCGCAAAGGAGGCGCACGCGAGGAAGCCGGCGGGCGCGTCGGCCGGCGCGGCAACCGCTCGCGCCCCAGGCGGCGCGGCAGCAGCTATGGCGCGGCGCTTGGCTGGCGGCTCCTCGGCGGCGGCGGCGGCGGCGGCGGCGGCGCGCTCGCGCTGCTTGAGCTCGTCCACCTTCCGGCGCTGGTCTTTGAGACTCTGCAGGTTGACAAGCGGGTTACTGCCTCCCTTCGCGAGGAGGTCCTTGAAGGAGGTCTTCCCCATCCCCGCAACCACGCAATTTGTATGAGCGCGCAAGGCTGGAACGCTGCGCGCAATGTCAAACCGACCTCTGTCGAGCCTGAGCTCGGGCAGGGGCTGTAAGGTAGTGAAAGACCTTCCCTGGGTCTGTCTCTCACACCCTCACTGTCGTCGTATGCGAGGTTCTCGTTCTTATCACCCTATCTGTCAACCTCTCACAGGCCAGCGCACAGCGCCATCGGAGGTATTTTCTTCTCAATAACAAGGCTGTGAAGGGCATAAGCCCTACTGTGTGAATTCGCGGAGCGAAGAAAATTTTATACGGAATACGTCCATTTTTGGAATACGGCGTATTCCATGGAATACGTGGAATACGGGTGGAATACGGCAGAATACAGGCCTCTGGGAGGTCATTTGGAATAGAGCTCTACGTGGAAAACGTATTCACACAGTAGGGGCATAACCATGGTTGCGTGCAGACAATGGAGATAGAGCAGCCCCGGAGCGGAGGCCCGCCCGGGGTATTCAGTGTGTCGCGGGCGCCTAATCGGGATTAATTCCGTCGGGCGCCCACGAATTTACGTTTGCCGTCGGTGTTTCGCAAGCGCATAGCACCACCCGTCGGTGTTACGGCTTGTGCTATGCCTGCTTTGGAGCCCGACGGGAACGCGGGAGCTATGGTCTCCCACCCTCCTCCCCTATAGCCTCTCACAGTCTGGCGACAGTGGGGGGTGAGTGCGAATTTCCGCAGTGTGTGCGTCGTCTCGCTTTGATAACACGCGGATGGTCCAAACCTTTACAGCTCAGCCCCTCGCATGTTACGGGGAGAGAGAATCCGAGGCGCACGGCGAGCGGAATTCTTGATGGAATTCTGTTGAGAAGCGCGGGAGCGGCGCCGGGCCGTGCTGTGGCTTTTGCGCTCTTGAGGGCGATGCGGCCGTCGCCACCCCCACCCTCTCCGCCTCCCTCACTGCCTCCGCCGTCGCCATCGCCGCCGAGCCCGCCGCCCTCGCCGCCACCCCCGTCGCCGCCGCCCCCGCGTCCGCCGCCAAGCGCTGAGCCCCCCGCAGCCAAGTCCGCAGCCGCCCTCGCCGCCGGCTCCCTCGCCACCACCGCCATCGCCGCCGCCGCCCGCCCCGCCGCCGCCCTCGCCTCCACCACCGTCGCCGCCGCTTCCGTCAGAGCCCGCCGCCGCCCTCGCCGCCGCCCAGCCTGCCACCTCCATCCCCACCGCCTCCCTCTCCTCACCCGTCGCCGCCACCACCGTCGCCGTCGCCGCCGCCGCCCTCTCCGCCGCCGCCGTTGGCACCACCCCCGTTGCCCCCGCCGCCCTCTCCACCGCGCCCAAGCTGCCCGCCCCCAAGCCGATCGTCGCCTCCGGCGCCCTCGCCTCCGCAGCCGGCGGGTCGCCGAGCTCGCCGCC